AGCGCCGGCAGGGCGGCGGGGGAATAGGCCCACTCGGGGCTGCCCGGATGCCGCGCGGGAACAGCCACGGGCGTTGTGGCTCCGGATTTGGGAGGGGAGTGTGATGTGTAGTGAGTTGTTTTGGTGGTGGGTGTTGCACGTTTAATTTTTCTGTGTCTTTGTTTTGTGGCTTTGTTTAAAATGTTTTTTGACGGCTGCTTGACGGTGTTCTTGCTTTCAAACATTGTGCAAGAATCATGTACCTTTTGTTATTTCTTTTTGAGGGGTGTTTAGGTGTTCGAAGACAAAATGTCGTTCTCAACAAGGCTCAAGATGGCCTGGGGCTCTACGGTATCGTACTTTGAAAGCTTTGCTGACAAGAAGAAGGAGATGATGGTTACCTATGATGTCGTAAAGGGCAGTGGTCGCACTGGAAGATCCGCTCGATCTACGGGAGGGATACCCCAGCAGCCTCTATATGATATGGATGCGAGTTCCGAATATCAAGAAGAAGAATATGCTTCTGAGATTCCCTACGAAGATGTCGGTAATCCTGAAGGTTTTTACGATGAAGGAGAATTTCCCATGGGTCCTCCCATGGGCCCTCCTATGGGATACCCTCCTATGGGATACCCTCCTATGGGGTACCCTCCACCGATGGAACCAGGCTACCTACCTTAGTATTGGTGTAGCATGGCTTTTTTCGCACTTTTTTTTGTTCTGAACCTTTTTTTTTCTAGACAGTAGTAATCTGTGTATTCCTTTCTTTTTCTTTTGGATTAATATGTCGTTGTGTGTGCATATGATGAGTTTTATATATTGGGTTTTTCTATCATTGTGAACTATTTGGTGTCCCATTTTTTTTCTATTATGTTTTTTTTTTGTATCATTAAGGGTGAGATCACCTGATTGGCTATCTTTAGAAATATGTTATTGTTTTCATGTTTTCCTTTTTTTGTTATTTTCTTTTTTTTCGGGGGATGGGGGATACAGAAATGATTATGTCTTTAAGACGCGTTCTGGGGTGTGGCATTTTAGAGAAGAGCCTGTTCATAGGTGCTGATGTCACGTCAGGTACGCTTTTTCTACAGCAACGCATTAAATCGCAGGAAGCAAGGGTGTATCATGATGTAGACCTTCTAGAAGAAACGGTCAAATCCCGTGAGGGGGTCTCCTATGATGACTCAGCCGCGAGCCCCTCTACTCTTTTGCGGAAGATAAAACATGAAAGGGAACTTGCAGCTGAAAAAATAGGCCTTGATAAGGTTCCGCAGCCTCCCCTACGTCGTTCAGGGAAGAATATTGTAATGGAAGAAAATACAAACTCGGGAGCCAACTCCACCGGTTCCCAGCATAAACCAAATGACTCGGTGGGTGGCTCAGCGACACTTCCTCCAAGGAATCACTTTCTGCAAAAGCTTTCAGAGATGGAAAAGTCCTCGGGATTCAGTGGTACGTGTCGTAAAGCTACCTCCCGCGCACATGAAGGTGGGGTTGAAGAAAAAGTCTTGGAGGAACGAAAGCGAATGCTGGTTTTTCGAGATGTTGGGATGGATTTAGACAAGCCTATTCTGTCACGGGATGTGTTTCTTGTGCTTAAGTACTTTCGGTATGGCATTGAGTTTGCCGTGGATAATGAGTTAGAGCGTATGTTGCGTTACTTTAACGAGCATGCCTTGAATGAACTCAAAATCATTCAAAACAGTAAACTCATGCGTGGCCCTGCGTCCCTCAGCCGAAAGAAGATTAATGCTGGTCATGGTGTCTTGCCCTTTCAGGTAACGCCGTCCTTCCCATCGTTTCAGGCAGCCAATATGCGTCAATTCTGCCGTTATACAAAAGAAACCGAACAAAAGGCAAATGATATTCTGAAATCGACTTCTTTTTGTACGTCGTTTCACCGGAAAAATGGAGATGCTATGTCAAGAACAGACTCAATTACGCCCTTCTTCTGCGAAAGCAACAGCACACAAATGACGATGTTTTCCCCTTCGATGTTTCGGCGGCCAGCAGTCATCATTTATTCCCAGTTAGGACAAAAGCTTGGGGCCCAAGCCGATTTGGAATGGCGACACCTGGCCTATACGACGCTCTATCCTTCTTTATTGCAATACCTCCCAGAGACCGATATTAAAGGAGAGGGCCATGTCCTTTCGCCGTCCGGGCAGCATAGAGGAGGACTCCGTCATCGTTCTGGAGGAACCTTTCAGGGTGTGAAGGGGCATGCCATGCCGATTGATATTATTTCATTACGTAGTATGGACGTGTACAAGTACCGTTGGGTGCACAAGCTCTATGTACGCCGCTTTGCGCAGTCACTATTTCCTTCTGTGGCATCCTCAGATTGTGCAACTAGTGATTCTCAAGTTAATGGGGTTTTAACGGCTTCATCCACATTTGTTGGATGTAAGTTACTTCAACCGTTTTATCCTGTGTTAGGTCTGCGTAACTATCTTTCCCCCCATGTGATGCTTGTAGACCATGAAGGAAGAATTCGGTGGCTTAGTGCAGGTTGTCCTGATGATTACGAGAGAGAGCATTTTCCTGCATTACTAAAGCAACTTGCAGATGAGTACTTTGAAGCCCGGAGTCGGTAGATGGCCTCTGAATATTGGTCCTTTTCGTGTGTGTTGCGTTCAAATGTTATGTTTGTTGGTGCACAGCGAAGTCAAGGACTCTAATGAATTCTGATGCCGAAAGTCGGAGGGCAGGTTGATACTTCTGATTATTGTCATTACGATCTCTTCACAAACCAAAAAAAAAGATAAATAAATTCCAGGTTCTCTTTGTGGGAAAGAACAAGGAGGAAAAACCCCTCTGTTTTTCTTCCTAAACTCAATCGAATTTCAAAAGAATCTTTCTTTCTGTTTGTTGATCCTTCTTAGAAGATGCTTGAAAGTTGGGGCGTTTTGACTCTAGTAGATTCGTGTCAGTTTGCCTTGGATGAATATTATCGGTTTCTGCTTATGAATGAGTTCCTGTGGTAGTCCACGTCTCAACTCTTGGCTGGTTAATGCTCAAGGGGCACAAAGTACTACTGGAGAGGGAAGACGGCTTTTTGTGGCTTAGAAGGAGGTGGTGTTGCCGAGTATTCACATTATGCACATTTGTGCGTTATGCAGAGCCTTTAGAGGGCGGGGTAGGATGGCAAGGAGGCGTCGGCATCAAATGCATTAATTGGATCTGAAAAATCTTCAGAGGCGTGACGTAAATGTGGCTCTAAAACAATAAATGTGAGAAGGCTCATGCCTTTTAAAGAGGAGTGCATTGGCATCAGAAGTTTCCTAATTGTCATGTATGGGTTGGGTCAAAAGGTTTTTGTTATCGAAAAGTTAAAGCAAACGTGCCAGATCATCGGCGATCGGGCAACTTCTTGTACCAGGGAACTTGCATGGGATGTGGTACCTCTTTGGATGCTTTCATCCTTTGTGCGAGGTACGCTAAGTGTGAGCGCTCAACCACTGTTGCGTCTTTCCTTCCATTCACTTTTGGTAGTAAGACTAATGGAATCATATGTCTTTGAGGAGCATTCATCGACCAACGATCATCACACTGAAGTCGAAGGAAAGAATGAATTGTCAAACAAGGCAGTGACGATTATGTCAGAAGCCCCCCAAGCGAGCTGTTCTTATTGTGGCGAGGATGACCCGCGCTGTCTTGCTATGTGTAGTGCCTGTTCAAGGTGGTTTTGTAACGGTGCACATGGCACCAGTGGTTCACATATCATCCTGCATCTCGTTAAATTTAAGCATCGTGTGGTACAATTACATGCAGAAAATGAGCTTGGGGATTCGACTTTGGAGTGCTACGTATGTCGTTCACCCAACATCTTTTCGTTGGGATTTATGCCTTCCAAAGAGGATTCTGTTGTTGTATTGGTTTGTCGGGAGCCTTGTCTTCACTCCAAGACTTTGCGCGATTTAAATTGGGACTCCTCGACTTGGCTGCCATTGATTGAGGAACGTCGTTTGCTTCCGTGGATTTGTAAGGTACCAAATGTTCCTTGTAAAACACTCACATTGCATGATATTACGACACTTGAGTTAAGTTGGGAAAGTCAAGACAAACAGAGTCTGAGTGTCACTGAAAAGGCTCCTCAAGTGCCATTACGCTTTGAAAATGGTGAGGAATACTTGAATGTCTTCTCAACGCTGATCACTATGGACGCTCAGGCCTCAAAGGTGAGGAAAGACTCAGCCTTTGAGGATATTCCTTGCAAATTGCAGAAACAAGTTGGAAGACGATACTTCTTTCTGTTAAAACAGCTACCCCTTGCTGATGTGGGTGTGCATCGTGGTGACTATGCTTCAATTTCCATTAAAGGGGGTTCACGCTCTTTAAATGGTGTCCTCGTTGAGATTGGGAAGCCTCAACTTGGCGAAGACGAAGTTGTGTTTGAGGCGGATGACACACGGTTGGCGCAGGAGAAAAAGGCGTTGAATGAAATTCTGGCCGCATCCACAGTGGTTTTTCGCCTGGAATTCAGCTCCGTTGCGAATGTGAGGAAATGCAAAGCGTTGGAGGAGATGGTTAGGGGGCAGGCCCCGCTATCTGCGTATCTTTATTACACTATTCTTGGTCAGACGGAAGAAGCAAAAAAGCGGTTTTCTCTAGTGGATATGGAGCTTTCTGCAAAACGTTTACCCGACCTGAATTTCTCTCAAGAGAGTGCAGTGAGAACCGCGTTGAAAAATCCATTAACGTTAATTCAAGGCCCTCCAGGGACAGGCAAAACTTCAACCAGTGTTGCCATCGTGTATCAGATGCATCAGAAAATAAAATCTCAAATTCTTGTTTGCGCCCCGAGCAATGTTGCTGTAGATCACCTGTCCGAAAGGATACCTGCAACCGGCCTAAATGTGGTACGCGTACAGGCCCACTACCGTGAAGCAGTGCCCAACTCTGTTGAGCACATTGGGCTTGATAAACAGGTTGAGGATTACATTGAAGCAAGTAGGGGTAATCAACAGATGAAGCGCCTTCTCTCCTTACTGAAGGCAGGTGATAACCTGAGCGATGAAGAGTACAACCTGTACCAACAGTCTGTAAGTGACATTGAGCGTCTGATCCTCGATAGTGCAGATGTGATCTGCTGCACCTGTATTGCCGCAGGCGACAGACGGATGAGACACATGCGTTTCAAGCATGTTCTGATTGATGAAGCAACGCAAGGAAATGAGCCAGAGACTTTAATACCTCTCGTGCGTGGAGCGAAGCAAGTGTTTCTCGTCGGAGATCATTGTCAGTTACGCCCGGTGGTTGTTTCGCTACCCGCAGAAAAGGCTGGACTTCGTCGAAGTTTGTTTGAACGACTACTAACGATTGGTCACCGTGCGGTACGACTTGAGGTGCAGTATCGCATGCACCCATGTTTGTCCTTGTTCCCATCTAGCTACTTTTACGAGGGGACGTTGCAAAACGGTGTGACGGAAGAGCAGCGTGATGCATCGAAGGTATTCCCGTGGCCAGATCCCACACAGCCCCTATTCTTTTACAACACAACAGGAGCTGAGGAATTGGGAGCGAACGGCAGCTCATACCTTAACCGAGCTGAGGCTGCATTAACTGAACAAATTGTGACGAGGCTTATACGGGATGGTGGTGTTAATCCCAATGGCATCGGAGTCATCACCCCCTACTCCAGTCAGTGCCGGTACGTTAAGAATTACTTTACCAGGTGTGGGCCTCTGTCAGGTGATATTTACGAAGATGTTGAGGTGTCGTCCGTGGATGCCTTTCAAGGAAGGGAAAAGGAGTTTATCATTCTTTCGTGTGTTCGCAGCAATCACCGCCAGGGAATAGGGTTTGTAATGGACTGGCGGCGTCTCAACGTCTCTATAACCCGAGCAAGGCGTGGCATGATTATTCTGGGAAATGTGCAAGTTCTCTCGCGGTACGCGCCGTGGCACGCCCTCCTTGAGCATTTGATGGGGTTGTCGTTGATTGTGGATGGTCCTATTGGAGAGCTTGTAACATCCAAGGTAGTGCTGCAAAAACCGAGGACTCGAAACGTGTCCTCCAATCCTGAAGAAGCGCTCAACTAAAATGAGAGGGGGCGTGCACCGGTTATTTTGCTAAGCCTGTGTCGCTCATCTGCAGACTATGGAAATGAGGTACAGATAATCTCACTTTGTTGTGTCTCTGTGAGAACCCACCTGGGCGTGTGTTGTTGTCACAGCAGTGAGAGCTGTCGCAACCGTGAAACTCAAGAATAATAACCGTATCTCACATTTTCCTCCCATCCTTGTACCCAACTCCCCGCTTCACCGTCCAACTGTGTGATTTTGAGGGGAGGGTATTTTCAAACTGTCATGTTTGATGGAGGTGGTGAACGATACACCCCTCTTGGCCGTGCGTGACGGCGCGGGGGGGGGGGACAGACTGCACAACACAGAATAAGATTTGTGCAGGGGTCTGTCCAAAAAATGCTATCACAGGTAAAACCTGCTTATTTGCAACTTTTTGTGTTACGCAACCTCAACAGAAAGAGGAGGAGGAAAAAAAGGGTTAATGAAATCCATTTAGGGCTATGTTCACATTGCTCCAAATCACTCTTTGCGTCAGGCTGCGTTGGCGCCCGATCTGGGTGGGGTATGCCGCAGTACTCTGTCTCAGGTGGCTGCAAGTGAAAAAAAAAAATTGTGTGCGCACACTTTTGGTTTACCCCCTAGTATCGCGCACATATATGCGTCTGCTAGTGTGTGTGTGTTTTTTTTTTCCGGGGGCCTGGTATGAGGTAAACAACTGCTGCTAACGTCGACCTGTGTTGGCAAGGCTGCTTTTCACCTGCTCTCTGTTTGTATGCGCTCTTGGTTCTCTCTCCTTGGTCGCGTTAACGTTTGTGTATTGTTCTTCCGGTAGTGGTGGTGCTGATGTGAAAGAGGTTCATCTTTCCAAATCATACCAATGTCCGATATCGTGCACCACTTCTTCCGTGTTAAGGGTGGTGCCACTAAAACAACTGCATCGGCGGCACCGACTGTGCATGTTGCGGTGCAGGGGTGCTGCCACGGGGAGCTTGACAAAATCTACGCCGCCTGCGCGGCACACGAGGCGGCAACTGGAAAGCGCATCGGCTTTCTCATTTGCTGCGGCGACTTTCAGGCGGTCCGCGACGCACGCGACTTGAGGAGTATGGCGGTCCCAGAGAAGTACCGCGTGCTGGGGGATTTCGCGGCCTATTACCGTGGCGAGAAGCACGCGCCCTACCTGACGCTCTTCGTTGGCGGCAACCACGAGAACTCGGACTGGCTCGCTACAGAGAGCTACGGCGGTTTCCTGGCGCCCAACATCTACTACATGGGACACTCGGGGGTTGTGGTGGTCGACGGGTGCGTTACTGTTGCGGGCCTGAGCGGTATCTTTAAAGGAATTGACTACACGCGGCCGTACCCCGACCGCCCCTTCCACGCGACGGAGGCGGCAAAGCGCTCCGCCTACCACGTGCGGCGTATCGAAGTGGAGAAGCTCAAGGCTTTCTCACTGGGACTTGAATCTCTTCGACGACAGCAGCAGCAGCATGAGTCAACAGCAACATCCATCCCGGCGAAGCCTGGCGCGCCGCCATCGCGATCTGCTGCAGCATTTCCTCGCGTGAGTTTGTGTGTTTCACACGATTGGCCTGTGGGGATCACCAAGTACGGTGACGAAACACAGCTGTTGCGCTACAAACCCTACTTCGAGGATGACATTCGGCACAGTGCGTTAGGAAACCCACATACGATGCCGCTGCTTCGCGCTGCTAAGCCGCACTTCTGGCTTTCCGCGCACTTGCACTGCCAGTTTGAGGCCACTGTGCCGCATCATGACGTGGAAAAAGACGCTTCTGCTGCTGCTGCTGTTGCCCCTCGGGCAACGAAGTTTCTTGCGCTGGATAAGTGCGCTAAGGGGAAGGGATTTCTCGATTTTATTGACGTTGCCGTTGACGTTGGCACCCACACAATGGTAGATGGTGCGGACAAACACGCAACAGGACACAGCCGTGTCGTACACCACCCGCTGTGGCTGGAGGTGCTACGAGAGACGCATGACTGCCTTGCGGCGAACAACGGCCGATGGTCGGCGGCGTCGTGCGCGTTGCTGCAGCAGCACCCAGAGCAGTTGCAGTGTGCTGACACGTGGCTACCGGCCAGCAGCACTATGGCAGTTTTGGCGGCCTTGAAGGTGTCGCCTTCCCCGCTGCAGCGCCCGCCTCCTGGCGATGAGGCGCGTGGGAGTTGGGCCAGAGGCATTGCGAAGGATAGTGACGGAAGAAGTCGTACCACACCAGCAATACCAACAGCATCGAAGACGACAATAGCAGTCACCGCGTCTGGAAGGGAGGGCGAGTTAGACGAGTTGGCGTTGATGGAAGACACTGCTGGGTCCTCCTGATAGTAATAGAGCTGACATCGGAAGCGTTTAAAGGGGGAAAAAAAGGCCGAAGAAGGAGGAAAGGAAACTGCAGAGATGTGCAGTTGTGGTGCACTTCGGAATGTTGGTGGGCGTGGCGGCAGTAGGAGCAGCCGTGCCGTGGGATACGGGTAACGACGTTCACGTGTGTGATCTCCAGCCTCCCCGCCCAATTCCTTCCGGTGGCATTGTATTTCCCTCTTTGTGATTCACCATCATATTTCTATGTTCGTTTTCCTTTTCTTTTTTTCCTATTCTTTGGTTTCCTCCTCCGTGTACGATCTCGTAGTGCATTAGGCGCCCCCCGCACAACAAGAAGGGGAAAAAAAGGACAAGGATTAGGCTTGTGTCTTGTAGAAAGTCTATAGAGCCGAGTGAGAGAAACGGTGCGAGACTTCTCTTCACGGCAGGCAGCGTACACAGCACAGCACAAGCAGCCCAGCAAGCAACAGGGTCTCTTTGTTGTTGTTGCTGTTCTTTGTAGCAGTTTTTGTTCCTGTTTGTTGTCACACTCGTCAGCCGTCCCTTCAGCTCAGCTACTATTTCTCTCGCTCCCTCTCGCATTTCCCTGTTGAGCGTAGCGACCAGCGGGGTGGAGAGGCAGGCCGTAGCGAAGCAAGAAAGGAACTGCAAGTCGGGGTATAGGGAAAAGAGAAGAAGGGAAAAGGCAACTACCGCTTTCCCCTCCTCCTGCAACAGCAAAGAAAAAAAAAAAAAGGGGACAGAATTGAGAAGTCAGGTGGCCCCAGCAGCGTGAAGAGCGAAAGCAAGAAGAGGAAAGACAAAAAAAAAGGCAGTAACGAATAGTGGAGCAGTGGGTCAACAGGTGCGACAGCGTAGCCAATTCAGCACTTCAGACACCGGTGACAAGCAAGCAATACTTCGTTTGTATTCTGCTTATTCTCTTTCGCTGGTACCGTTTCTTCGCATCACTGGTATTCGTTTCTGTACTTATTTGACGGGGTTTTACGCACTCCTTTCTTTCTTTGTGGAGTCTTCCGTCGGTCGAGTACTTGCCAATACTCTTCAAGCACTTGTGCATTGACCCGAAATCGTTGACGTCATCAAGGCCGTGATTCCTCTTGCGGCTCTTTTTGATCGATTGTCTGTTCTTTTTTCCTTGTGCAATTCGGCTGTATCTATTTGGGCTCCCCCTTTTCGTGGTCTGTGTGTGTGTGTGTGTATTTGCGTGTCTGGTTTCTTCGTGGTTGTCGTCATCCGCTCCGTCGTTGGTCGTGAGTGCGGCATCCACACCCTTACTCCTTTCTTTTTGCGTGCGTGGCTGCGTGAAGACCTCGCACCATCGTTCGTCGCTGAGTCATACGCGCGCACACATACATACACACCAATACGGGAAGAGACATCGCCGTTCGCTTCGCTGACAGGTGTCTGTGACGTGCGAGAAAAGTGAGAAGGTGTGTGAGTGTGTGCAGCAGAAGCAGAAGCAGCTACACACATACACATCGGCGTGTTGTTTTGTGGTGTGAGTGTTGCGTGCCGTTGGATTGGTGTAGCCTGTGAGCGCATACCAGAGGGCGCAACAGCACCGTCACCGGTTGATCGGAAGCAAAGAAATAAGGAGGAAGAAGGAGGCAATAGGGATTGAAAAGTGCGAATACCCCAGCACAGCGAGAGGACCGGAGGTATAGAAGAACAAAAAGAGAAGTAAAACAGTTACCGCTTGCCGAGTCGTTGCTCTTATACACTTCGCAGGGTCCATTTTACACCAACGTCTACCATCGGCTACTCAACATCCCCTCCGGCAGAAGTACAACATACAGCGGCGCAGAGGGTCTTGAGAGTTGGCAAACGAAGCAATAAGCAGATTGAGCAGTAGCAAACAGAAGAGGAGAAAGGAATTCCACGCGGTATCGTTAACGAGGCGATGGACGGACAAGTAAACTCTCAGCCACACGGCAGTACGCGGCACACGCCTCCGTCGCAGCAGAACACCGCGGCGTTGTCATCGGCTGGCACGGCTGATAGCGTTTCAGAGGGGCTGGACGTGTTCGACCTGCAGCTGCGCAAAGACTGCGCCAATGTGCCTGGCTCATTCATGGGCGGCTTCAACGTGAACGCGACGGGCCCGTCCCCGTCGCCGACGGTGGCGTTCTCGGCGGCGATGTTCTCATCCGTCGCCACCGCGTCACAGGGGCTGGCGTCGACGATGAGCAACCCGCAGACGACGCGCTGCATGGTGCGTGACGTGGCACGGCTGATCTTGAGCTACATTTCAGCCCACGTGGAGCCGCAGCCGGAGAAGCTGAGCGACGAGTACGAGCGGCAGCTGATTCTGCAGTTCGTCGAAGAGCTGCAGCGCACCAGCGCGCCACCACCGGCAGGCGTAATGGGTAGCGGCGACGGTCGCTGGACGATTGACAAGGAGGTAGTGCTCTCGCTGAAGAACAGCAGGGGCGACGGGCTGCCACCGCCGGGCGCGGAGGTGGCGCGGCCGCATCACCCGTACGCTGTCTGCGGTGCCGCCGGCAGTAGCCCGCGCCTTATGACGCAGCAGCAGCAGCAACTCTGGCGTGGCACCCCGCCAATCATTGCGGGAGGCGGCGGCATGTACGGTGGTGTGGCAACTGTCAATGGAAACAGCGGCGGCAGCAACAATAACAGCAGCACCAACATCCCTGCTGCCGCTGGTGTCGGGGTCGGTGCTAGCAACGGCATTGCTCGTAGTTGTTTCGCCCCGATAGAGAACCTCAGCCCAGCGGGCGTAGGGACGAGCGCTGCCCAGTACGTCGGCCTCAGCGCGACGTCGCTAAGCAAACGCGTAGGTGGCGGCGACGTAATTCGCCCGCAGCCGCACCACCCGAGGAGCGGAGGCAGGGGTGTGGTGAGCCACCGTCACGCCATTCCCGGCACGAAGAAGGTGCTGCGCTCTGCCAGCTCCGCATTCTCCGAGTGCTCAGCGGGGGATACGGGCGAGGTGAGCAGCTCCATGTCTCGCACGACTGTTGGCAGAAGCACTGGGATCAAATAAGGAAGAAGAGAAAGGGGAAAAAAAAATAAAAAAAACAATGAAAGCGGAGACAATGATGCGCCATATAAACAAAGAAAGAGGGAAAACAGTGACAAGAGGAGAAACTGGATTCCCTCCCACAAACTCGCTCACTCATTCACTTACACACGGGAATATATACTACACATACCCAAGCAATTGGAATGGGAAACGCATACACGCATGCCGACAGTCAAGGAGTCTGAAGGCGACAGCAGCAGGGTAACCAAAACGATCCAGTTGTGCTTGTCCGATAGAGTAATCCGTGGTGCGCCTACATATATATATATATATAT